ATAGTGGCTTGGGCACCCGAACGAAAGAGTTCCGTCTGGGCCGTCGAGCGGTTCGCACGTCTTCCGACGGAAGATAAGTTTTTGATCCTGCGGGATTGCATCATCCCGCGTGTGGCCCGGTTACCGGGCCATTGCATCGTTCAATTCACTACTGCAATGTGAGCCGGGAGCCAATAACCAGAGAAGAAGAAGAAGACCCGAACGAAAGTGACGCACCCGTAAGTGCGTTTGTGAATAACACGTTTATTTGGCAGAGTAACCCAGGTAGCAATAGTGCCCTGCTTTTACTAGCTTTTGATGTTTTGAGCCCGCGCGAAGCCGGGTCTATAAGTTATCGCTTTAAGGTTGCCTTTACTGTTGTCTTATTATTTTAGGTTATATTGAAACATTTGCTGTACATTATTATATGTGCTCTGGAACTGTTGAGTTATTTCGAGACACTTCTGGCAGAGGACGAGGAATGTCGGCAGTGCTTTCGACAATTTCGCAGCTTGTGCACGACTCTTAACTCTTTTAGTGTCGATGGAGGGTGTTGTCAGCGACAGTGCCAAAAGTATACAAAGTATTGTCGACCGCGACATGACTTGCACTTGACCGACACGTGCGTGGAGTAAAATTCATCTCATCATAGTTCCAGAACTAATGAATTTGTTTGTACACATGAATAGAGATGAATTTTACTCCACGCACGTGTCGGTCAAGTGCAAGTCATGCCTGGGCAAACTCTGTACAGTTAAGAGGGACTTGTACAACGCCGTGGTGATGAAATGCAGATTCGTCAGTCTAGTATGTAAGTTTCCCGTTAAAACTCTACCGGCGAAAGCGTGCGCTGTTACTAGGAAAATTATGAAGCAGAATGTCGAGTGGGTCATTTGTGAAATGAAGGAATCCGAATGTAAGTATTGGAGACAATCGTGGAACACGTGTCGCAATTTAACCTACAACGTAGGCGCGTACTGTCTGAACATGTGTACGAGGAAAGTGTGTGTTTACTGTTTGTTCACCTTCTTGTGCAGTTGTATCTCTCGACTCA